TTTAAGTCAATTGTTTTTTTTTTACAACGCAGATTATGAATAGTAAAGTAAATTCCACAAAAGGACGATTCACGCTTCTTATTGAATAACATGTTAAATAAAAATATGGCCTACTCAGTACCTAAAACGCGAGAAATTATTTTGACCCGGAGCAAAGTGATAGACAGAGGATGATGTTCGTATCGAGAACGTGTTTCAAGTAGAGAAGCCCGACTCTTTTGAGATTCATTTTTCTAGAAGTTATTCTATACAATTTACATGCGAACCCTATCGTTTAGAAACCGTTTGCAAGGAAATACCGACTAATTGTACAATTAATCATGAGAAACTCTACCCGTTGTACTGTATACCGTTTCCGTTTGCGTACGTTATTTCGGAAATTCTGTACGACTTCATTGAACCCGCAAAACTGTTTGCGTGGTTGGTGCAATCTATGTGTCCCTTGTGATTTTAAGTTCACGACGAATTGGAGAAAAATCAGCGTTTTACAAATAATAAAAGATATTGTGAGTTTGGTGACCGCAGTCGGTTTTTACTAGCTAACTCCCGAACAATTTTCAGGGTCTAGACGCGAGCAATCAAAGAGAGTACAGGACCAACAAAGTGAAAGAAATCTGTACAGAATACGCGGTGTTTTCAGAACAAAGGACACCGAATCCTGTGCGTCATGCCGATGAATACAGCCAATGTACTATTTGAGCGATTATTATAAAAAGTTAATTATGCACGAATAGTAGACATAATTAAAATAATAGAATACACGTACTGCATTAATAGCGTGTACGTGGTTCGTGTCAATTGAAAAATCGTGTTGAACGAATTCTAAATTAACTGAATGAGATAAACAACGATAACATACAGAAACGATAATTTAATTGACGTTGAATCATCTTCACGTCTCTTAGTTCGCATTAAATTCAACACATCATCCTTTGATGGCCACCGCCATTATCGCGTACGGGTCGTAAACGTGAAATATTACAAACAGCAGTTTCGTGACCCGTCAAATGATCGCGTCCGTGTTTCCGTGAACCAAGTTCGCCGCCTCTCGCTCGTGTCGTTGCCTCTCTAATACTCTAAATTAGAACCTCTCTGCTACGTCTCTAGCAGCTCAACCGAGAGAACCAGGCGCAAGGTTCCTCAAAGTCGCGCATGCACAAGGATTCGTCGAACCGAGGGCCAGGCGGTTCATTCAGAGCGGCTCGACCAAAAAAAGATCGTCGATCGGACGCGATACGGAAGGAACATGAATTTCACGGATACGGACATACATGTCCACGTGCTCGGTGTTGTACATATATCGGGAATAAAAAGCCACGAGCGGAACGAGAGTCGCTGTTAGTTGTGATGCGGATCACGGAGCATTATTTATTAATAGCAAAGAGCATTGGTGTGGCCAACGCAAGGGAGTGGCAGTGCCATGGTAAAGCGAGCGCGACAGCACACCAGATCGTGGAACGGATCTTCGGATCTTTTCGCCCCTTCCCCTTTCCCATCCAACCTCCCTCCCAGCGTCTGTCCTTTTCCCTTTCGCCTGCCGCTACCACGAGCCGTCTCTCTGTTTCCTATCCTCCTCTCTCTTCCTCGTTCGTCGCTGCGGACTCAATCGTTCCCTATCTTTTCCTTTGGCTCGTCGGACTCTCTTCTTCCACTCGTGCCGGCCTCTTCGTCCGACCGAAGGGCTCTTTCTCTCGGTCGCTCGCTCCATGTGTTCCACCTCGGTCCCTCTGTGTTTTTTCTCCCTTCCCCCGGCGCACAGCACGTCGCTCTCCGTGCAGCGCCATTCGTTCAGCGTTGCTCAAGCTTTCTCTTTCCGCTTCTCTTCCTTCTTACTCCGTGTCACGGCTACCTTTAACAGCTGGCTCGCTCTGTACATTGTCTCTGTCTGGCATGCTCTCGCCCGGCGAGCATTGTCGCACTCCCGCTCGTGAGACAGCACGCCGTTGTAGGAGAGTGGATGAACGCTTTGTCGGCGCCCGCGGCCGAGATCAAACGCGCCGACCGCTTCCTCCTTTCCCCTCACCCCCGCCGCGCGACTCGACCGGCCCGTAATCCAGCCGTGGCTCTCTGCTCTCTCTTTCCTCTCCGTCTCTCTCTGCCCCTTGTACAGCCGCCAAGCTACCCTCCCCTACCGACGAATCCATCCAGCAAAGGTACCCATAAACGCTCAGTCCCGGGCTGTTCTGGCCCTGATGAGAGAAAAATCTCTGACGGGTAGCAACCACACACGTACTTACGTACGTACATATGCACGTACGTACCGTACACGGCTAGCGCAGTACGAGTTTGTCGGTCGTTGATTAAGCATCCACGAGAAAATAGAACGGGAAACCCGGCGATAACGATGATTCCGCTTGAATGAACCCACCACCCCTCGCGCTCCACGGCTACTACATACGTGCAACGTATGTAGCTAGGGGATACACGCGCGAAAGGGACACGTTGGCTTGTCCGCGCCTAACATAGGGACGAGCTAATTTTCACGCAGGAGGATGAGGTGCCTTTAGTGTCCCCAGATGTTCGTAAATCTCGAAGGACGCTCCACTCGAGCATGTTAGATCGAATTCGGGAAGTAGAATCACAAATCGTGATTGGGTCGTACCGATGAGGTTTCAAAATTTCTCGCTGCTTCAAAATCAACATTGCATCAACTCAAAGCATTATTCATCGCTAAGCTTACTTTCCATTTTGAAGTCTAAATACAATACGACTTCGTTTACTTAGACACGGAGATTTAGCGTCATCTTGGTATTTCGGACTTTAGACGTGAAAACAATTCCTTAAAAGCATTCGGCGACTTTGAAACTTCTACGTATTGAAAAGTTTGCCTTGACTCTGACTGCGGGACGCATTCCGTCGGATTTTCTTCCAACTAGACGTGTGTTAGACCCGTAGAGCGAAACCGACGGACGCCGGAGTTGCCCGTTTCTCGGCACCGCTATTGCTGCTCTCTTGCCGCCGCTCCGCGGTTGCTGCTGATGTTGCTTCTGATGCTCGCGGCAAAACTGTATTATAGCCTTTCCTGTCGTATTCTCTCTCTCTCTCCTCTGTCGTTCGACGTCCTCCTTTACGCCGACCTCCGTATACCTTCCACGATACTTCGCGATAAATACTCGCGCCGCTCTTTTTACGCGTTACTGCCTAATTAGCGGAATTATAAGATCCGGTCGTGGACCTTCTTCCCTCTCTTAATTCGTGCTCCCCTTCCTCTCCTGTCGGATCGACAGAGAAAGAGAGAGATTGAAGGTTCCTAAAAGAGGTTCCCGACGATTTTAGAGTTTAGACGACAAATTTGCGAAAATCATTTTCAGGAAACAGAAACTGTTAATACAGATGAGTACTTGATTAGTACTAATTATAATGTGTACTACAAAATGTTTAATACGTATTCAAATGATTGCTCTTTTCAACATGCGAGAGATTTCCCTATACAGTTTCAACCTGGTCTAACGTTCTAATTCACGCGCACTTCCCCTTGCACGCGAGCGTCAAGTGGTGCGATGATAATGACCTTGCTACGGTGCGTTTTACGATATTTTTCTGACAGCAAAGAGCAACGATGGAAAGTTCGAATCAACGGTCTAATGTCACTACGTTCGCGAGAGATTGTGAAAAGCGGAAATCGATATCGGTAAAACATACACGCCTACGCGTAGTACATGAGTTGTTTGACGACTGACTACTGATAATTTCCTAAGTGCACCAGATATCGATACTGCGAAACTTTAGACGATGATGGTTAGACGATATGAGATCGTTATCTTTGACGTTCGAGTAGTTGATCAGGCCGAGTTCAAGTATTCATCGCTTGATATGGATAATTGATAGAACGATGAAGAAACAGTTAGGATAAGTGGTAATTAAATAAAATCATCAAATCTCTTCAGCGAAGTATATATGAATGAGTCTTCGATACTCGTATTAGATTTATACCATGCCAAGCTTGAACCTTAAGCTTAATCTAATATCCCCCTGACGTGTTTGACACATTATGTTCTTACGGCTACTAAAGAATGCAAGACAGCGCGAAATGTCAATTTTCTTTAATAGCACGACGGCATGCGCGGCAGCGCGCGATATACGCGCGTAACATTGCATAATAACGCAAACGAAACAGACGGCAAAGGCCGGCCGGACGACTGCATTCGAAGGCACGGGGACAAACCGAGCGGCAAGCGTCGGCGTTCTTCTTTAAAGTGCAGTCCCGTGCACTCCACGGCGGACGCAGATAGTAGGACAGTTCACTGAAAACAGTTTATTATTAATAGATGTATGCCTCTCGGTTTCCTGTGGTCGTGCGGTGCCGGCTTTATTTCGAGGCTAGTCTGTACCGAGTTTTTGAACCATACGTTTTATTCTCCTTGCTGCGTGGCCCTCCCACCCTCCTGCCCTTCTTGTAACCCCTCCCCGTGGGCCCTGGCCCGACCATTCCTTCCTCAGCCCCTGCTGAGTCGGTCGTCATTTTCCTTTTTGCCTCCTCCCCTCTACTCTTCTCTTAAAAACGAGACTCGCCACCGACTTTCCGACAAAGGAATAAAGAAAAGAAACAACTAGCCACGCTACGCGGTTGAGGATGGCACGGCGAACCGTAGCACAGCGCAGCACACCACGGCATAGCGTGGCATGGTGGGTAGAGACTTTCCGTACAGGGAGAGCAAGGGGGTACTTGCCGAACCAACAGCGTAGATACTCGGGGACGCTGGATCACGACACCTTTATTTTCTTTTCTATGTATTTTCCTTTTGCTGCATTTGTCTCATCTCCTAAAGTGCCTATCACATACAATCATGGGCTGGAACAATTTATGTCTTTTTCCTGCAATTGACTGATTTTTTTTTATAAAAAGACTCAATATTAATACGATAATCGTTTAATGGTGAAGAGTTAATGAACCGTTAAAATATTATTTAATA